CTAACCCGCGCCCAAGGCCTGGCCGCCCCCCTTTCCCGCGATCCATTTATAGATTTTAGAGAACAGAATATATGGGAATTTGTAAATATGCAAAGTAAAAAAAAAAAAATCATAGCCTGCATATAATAAATGACAACTACATTTCGTTAATAAAGTAGGCCTACGAATTTATCCGTGGGGGAAAGCGCCGTCCGAATTGTCCTCTTATGGTGTGTTCAAACCGAACGCGAATAGAGCGTCAAAACGCGTCTATCGCGTCTAGTTAGACGCTTGAATCTGCTCGAGTTCAAATTTTTCAACTTGCGTGGAAGACGTTCGCGGCAAACGCGTCACCCAATTCGCGTCATTCGCGACGCCCGGCGCGAATGATGCGTCTATTCGTGTCTTTGCATTGACTTTGTAATCTACTCGCGCAAATTATTAAATTCGCGTTCGGTGTGAACACACCATTAATGCATACGTGCCAACGTCATGGTCATATATTTCGAAAAACACAATAAATACTGTGACTACTATAAACACTTGACATAGCCTATTCGATGGAAGCACACTCGCTTAAAGGGACACTATGCAGCTTTTTTAGCTTAACTGAACAGCTTCAGAGTTATTGAAATGGTTATATAACTTCTTTCGGGTTGAATGGTGGGCGTCTCGACCCCCCCCCCCCCCTGGTGCCTGTGAGCGAAAAAATCTCACTTGCAACTTCGGTGCGGCGGGCCGCGTCAGGAAGTATCGCGTGATATCAGCTCTCGCGATGTAACATATTCCTTTACGGCAACTGCACACATACACACAGGAACAAGGTATAGATGGATGGAGTTTGTCACACTATCGTCATGGCTGAGCCGGCATATAAGATGCAGAAAGCTAGGAAAGCATTGTCGGAGGAACAGAGAAAGAGGAAACGGCAGACTGACCGAGCGAGGAGTCGGACACGAGCATAGGCATAATTTGCGGGTGTGCTATGTCCCCATTGAAACTTCTCGCGGCACGGATGTAACGTTACCATTACAAACAAATAAAACATCTCCAGGTAACTCTAGTAGAGCATTCATTTCGTTCGTTTGTTAAATAAGAGGCGATCTGAAATGTGTTATTTTTGAAATCAAGTGACCAAAGTGCTCGTTGCCTCTGCGATCAGTGGTGCAGATAAGTGTTTTGTTGTGACGCGCGCCTGAATCCGTTGCGGGGACTGAGAGACTCTCTATATTTTGTTATGGTGAAATCACAAAACCTAATGCACAAAAAACATGTCCCTGCTTGAAATACAACCACTAATAAACAATCGGTTTTGATGAGGAAAATAAACTATACTACTAGCTAGTACCGATTAGAACCCAGAACCTCTAACACACTTGGCAAAAGTTCTGCCTCTGGACCATTAAAATTGTCGGATCTATGTATTTAATCACGTGAAAATTCTCACCACTAACAACATATATTATATCTCATTAAACGACAAATTAAACACAATGTACTATTGTATACTATGTAACAGGCATGTCACGCTCTGAGTGAGTGGTATTTACGACAGTAACGTTAAATTCAAGTACTCCACAGTAACTCTAGGGGTCGCTGTTTGACAAAAACGGGATTTCTGCATAATGCCCCTTTAATAATTCAAATATACTCTCGTGTAAAGTCACTCATTTCATACATTAACTTATAGACTACATAGGTGTTCATACCACGTTTCTAATTGTTGATGCAAAATTCGTAGCAATTCTGAAATTCAGTTTAAAATGCAATAAACGATTGAGTGTACCTTAAGTTAAAAAAAGTTAAGCTTACCTCTTTTCAGCGTCTTCACATATGTGCTTCACAAAATGGCTCCAATTTTTGGCTGGAAAGGCATCACGGGAAATTGCATATCACGTGGCTCGTATAGTTACTTAAAATGTTATGCTCGATTTACTTAATTTTGAAGCAATTATTATAGTAGTTGACATGACTTATGTTTTTTCATTTTATTTATGCATACATTTAAGTTCACCTAGTTACTTATATTTTTGTGTTACACACACTAAATATGTTAAGTAGAGGTTGAAAAGTTATGAATACTTAATTTTTTGTGTTAAATCTAATAACTTTTATAAGTAATGGTTGTTCAGCCAACGAATCGTTTTTTAGAGTGTATTATCACTGTAAAGCTGCTTTGAAACAATGTTAAAGCGCTATATAAATGAAGGTGACTTGACTATTAGCTGCATGTCCATTCAGATCTATTTGTGGACAAACATGAAAATACAGACATTGACATTGAAGTCAGACAATTCAGTATTGTATTTGGATCACCAAAAATTGCTTATTGGCACTAAAAGGTGGAGAGAAAAAGACGTGTACCAGGAAGGCACTGGCTGTTTTCAAAGTGCACACCAAATAGTGAAGAGCAAATACATTGTCATAACCATCAATATGCTAAAAGTTTTCAGAGAGCTGTCATGATTGAGCTGTCATGATTGAGCTGGGATTATTCAAGTGCTCAATCGTCAAGATCGAGAAAACATTGAGAGCTCCACATTGTGCCTGTCTGCTTTTCAATCAACAAACAATTGCATAATCTTGCGCAATCTTCCCAAGGGTTTTCATGTGTTCATTTTGATTTCATTTGAGGTCACAAGTAGACACGAGAGCATTGCTTATTGAACATCTGTTTACTTTTGTCCTATGCGTTTAGATATACAACACAACGGTATAGTGTGATACAAGTAAATACATATTATTGGAAAAAGTCGCTTGATGTTTTTTTGTCTGTTGGAGCACTGCGGTGCACATGAAGATGACATGTGACTCATGATCAGCAGTGATCGTCCAATCACGTGGAGTAAACCACTGAAAATGCCAGCTGGAGAGGACAAGACAGGACACAAGCTCATTGACTCAGAGAGGGTGTGTGTGTGTGTACTGGTGCATCTGTGTCTGTCTGTGTACATACACTACAAGAGGTGTGAGTGAAGCAGTGAGCTTCTCATGCTATCATGCTTCTTCACATGAGATATGGCACGTGTACGAATGTTCTGTGGATATTATTATGATTTATTGTCAAAGTCTGAATGAATATTATTTCTGTTTTAATGAATCCTTCTTACAGGCCGGAGCTTTCTCTCAGGGAAGGGTGTAATAATCTTCAATAAAGGCAGTAGATCTCTCTCTCATTCACAAATACCTGTTGTGCTTCAGTTTGACGAGGTGAGAACTTCACTGTGAGTCATATTGATATTAATGTCTAAGATGACAATGTGTGGGACTTTTTAAGGTGCTCCATCACTCTGAATGGGTGAAATTGATTACATTTTTTAAGCTGATTTATGGGTACTTTGGGAGAAACTGTTACTGTAGGATGTGCAGAATAACAATTTACACGGATCATGAATGTTTGCACCTTTTGTAGTTGTGTATGCTCTTATGCACTACATTTATGATCAAACATACAGTAAAAACACTGAAATTGTTCAATATTATTACAATTTAAAATAACTGTTTTCTATTTTAAGATATTGCAAAATATAATTTATTCATCCATATAGAGAGCAGCAGTCAGGATCTGGGACAAGTTGAAGCTCTCCGGAAATTCCGAGTAGTAATTATGAGTTCTAGGAGGATGTGAACGCTTTTTACAAGTCGGAAACTCGTAATTCCGACATGGTGTGAAAGCACCTCAAGTAAGGCTTGCTATGCTGTCAAAATACTTACATTTTTATACATATATATGCATATTTTACAATAAACTTAAAATATATTTAAATTAATCGTCTTTTTATTTCTACATCGTTTTTTTTTTTTTTTTTTTTTTGCAATGTCTTCAGTGTCACATGATCCTTCAGAAATAATTCTAATATGCTGATTTGGTGCTCAAAACATTTCTTATTTGCAATGTTGAACACTGTAAGGCTCGATCGATCCAATGGCGGCATTTGATCAGCGGCAGCGCGTGAAGGTCTCTGCGTGTTACTGTCTTTCCGCGTGCCAAAGTAATTTGATGAAATGAAATACATTTTCTCATGTATTATCTCGTTATTTCATCTGACTCCATAAATGAAAAGGTTTTAATGATATCTGTGCATCATTAAATGTGAGCGAATGTTTGACTATTCTTTTGAACTCTTTAGGCTGAAAATATGTCAAAGCCAGTTAGAAAATCATAATGTCAGGTCAATGTATCATGTCATTTTCATAATCAATTTAAAGATAATCAACATCAAATGAGTAAAAAATATATAGGTTAAACCCGACATTTAGAAATAGCCTACAATATGGACAAACCCAAACATGGGTTGAAACAACCCAGCATTTTTTTTAGTGTAGGCCTACACATGTTTAGGTGCTCAAAACATTTCTTATTTACAATGTTGAACACTGTTTAATATTGTTATAGGCCTAAACAACGTGATACCTATTTTTCAGGATGAATACAAACGTCAAAAGAACAACATGTATTTTAAATATAATTTTTTGTAACATTGTAAATGTTTTTACTGTGACTTTTGATTAATTAAATGCATCCTTACTGAATATGTATTAGTTTCTTTAAAAATAATTATTGACCCCAAAACTTCAGTAGGCCTATACACACAATTCATGAAACTGCAAATATGTAAGACATGTCAAATTATTGTTAGGCTAATTGAATAAAAAAAAAAATTACATTTATTTATCTAAAACACATTTAACAACACTTAACTCCAACTTGACATTTAAGAAAAATGTCCTGATTTCACAGTTTAACATTAATCTTATTTGGCTATAAAAGCAGCTAACAAAAATGGGTTTACTTTTTGATTTTAGACCACTTTGTCTCGCATCAATCTAAAGATACGTGCGCGCGCACTCTCTCTCTCTTTCTCACGACTTACCCACCCACCACCACCACCACCCTCCCTCCCTCCCTCCCTCAGGTGAGATAGTAGGGATGCAATGCACATCTCTCTCACACACATTTCTGTTTGTTTCTCCAGTGTTTAACTTTCATTCGTTTTCTCCATACAAACTAAAACTTCGTTCAGGTGACGTTTACATCAGTTCAGGAATTATATAACGTCTTCATAGCAAAGTCAACTGACTTTCTCTGGAGCAGCAGGGAAGTTTATTTTTTTTAGATTTGGGCATCGCTTCTGCGCCGAGCACGATTGCGCGTAAATCTCAGCGCGAGGCGCGCCCGGTGCTGTCGAGACTGGGCGTCAGAGCGCGGGTGCTCGCCACGGGAGTGCTGGGTGTCGTCATGGTGCTGGTGCTGGTCATCCTCATCCCGGTGCTGGTCAGCGCGGCAGGATCCGACCCGCGCTACGAGATGCTCGGCGCGTGCCGCATGGTGTGCGATTCGTCCGGAACGAAGTCTCCATCATCAGCACCGGCGGACAACAGTTTAGTTCAGTCCCCGCCAACTTTCATCCGCGGTACGAAAGGAGAGCCAGGGCGCTCAGGAAGGATCGGTCCGAGGGGTCAGCCGGGTCCGCCCGGACCTCCAGGTCCCCCGGGGGTCATAGGAGAACCAGGGCCACCTGGATTACCCGGTCCGCCCGGAGTCACCGGTGTCATAAGCGCAGCGACGTACAGCACCGTCCCCAAAATCGCCTTCTACGCAGGACTCAAGAAGCAACACGAAGGATACGAGGTGCTGAAGTTTGATGATGTGGTCACTAACTTGGGCAACCACTATGACCCCTCGAGCGGTAAATTCACCTGCTCCATCCCGGGGATCTACTTTTTCGTGTATCACGTATTAATGAGAGGCGGTGACGGGACGAGCATGTGGGCTGATCTGTGCAAGAATAATCAGGTATTTCATAAATCCAGCTGTCAGTACGCAGGTGTTATAGCCCATTTATTTTATTCAGCAGTCAACGAATCGGTTTTGGTGCATAAGAAACATGCTTAACTTATTTTTTTTTATATAAATTTATATATTTATATATATATATATATATATATAAATACATATATATATACATACATACATACATGCATACAATGTTTTAAAAATAAGTTAAGCATGTTTCGTTTAGTGCTGTCAAATCGATTAATCGCATCTAACATTTTTTTTTTACATAATGTGTGTGTGTGTGTAAATATACACACATATATATATATATATATATTTATATACAGTAGTCAACAACCTTTCATCAAAGTTTTACATGAATTTGAATAACCGTTCTTGTCTTGCCTTTGTTGAACTTTTTTGATCCACTTCAAATGTTAGCCACTGCATATTTTATGTCTGTGAGTGTATATTTACTATGTATACACACACACACACACACACACATGACATATAATATATATAAAAATAATAGCTATACACACTCACACATTATGTAAACAAAAATCTTTATGTTAGATGCAATTAATCGATTTGACAGCACTAATTAGTAGTAAATATTATTTGAAAAAAATTAAGCTTTACTAATTATGTTTTGATATGTACCTAAAATGTTTAATGTAATTGTTTTAAGGTGAATGTTTCTTACACACCAAAACTAGTCGGAACAATATATATATTTTAAATTGATATTTTTCACTATTTACTTTACATTTTGTCTTAAGAATATTATAATGATTAGATCATTATTAATTATTAAACAAGTTCTATATATTATATACATATTGTTCTCAGGAACATGTGATATTGCAAAAAAAAAAAAAAAAAAAAAATCCAGGTTGTGCATCAGCAATATTTAATTTTTTACAAACATGCCTTCTTCAGTGGACAAACTGAAATGTTGTGTTTTCTTGTCTTAAGAGAATAACGTTAAACTTCCATGGGTAGAATGTTGTTTGAAGTCTTTGGAAGTACCAAGAAGTCAAAACTTAATGTGCACTTTTCTCATGAGTTTAAAAAATATATATATTCCTTGCAGGTGCGTGCCAGCGCGATAGCGCAGGATGCAGATCAGAACTACGACTACGCCAGCAACAGTGTGATCTTACACCTGGAGCCCGGAGACGAGATCTACATTAAACTAGACGGAGGTAAAGCCCACGGGGGAAACAACAACAAATACAGCACCTTCTCAGGCTTCATGGTCTACGCCGATTAACACCTGTGGAAGAAACTGCACTTTCAGATGATCCTCGTTCTGACGTCACGGAGGACACGAAAAAGTGGACCCCCTCGAGCCTGTGAAGGATACAGCAACTGACCGTCCGGCTGAGAACTATACGTCTCCAAGCATGTGAACACACACACTACACGCAAATTAGTTTTTAGAGAAGTCACTGTGATTTAGAAACAAATCTTACAGTGTAACACTGGTGATTGTAGTATATTTATTGAGAGATTAACCGGCAGAAAGCAGAAAATCATCATTCCATTCCACATGTGCCTACCGTACACCGACACATGGCTGACCCGAGGAGGCTGTCCCAGAAAACACGATATTAGCCCGGAAACGGTTCAGATGGCATTTCTTTAATCATTTCTCATTCTTCACACACTGAATGTCACATTTAAACCACAATTCTATACTGTTTTATATCAATGTTTTCATTTAAAAATATTACCACTGTCTGGTATGTGCAGTGTCATCAAACAAAATGTGAATAAAATATATTGTATGATTTGTATGCGTGTATACATTTCCTATAATACTAAGCATCCTACATGTATAGATGAATATCTTTGACTATTTAGAAATGTTTTCGCTTTAAAAGCACTAAACTAAATGCTGCTGTAAAACATCCTCGTCTAGATCCACAAAAGAATAATAATAAAAAAAAAAAGGGAATTAGTTTTGTAAGCAATCAGACAAATGCTCATTTTAAAGTGCCCCTATATTGTGCTTTTTGGAAAATATTGCCGTTTGTGAATGTGAAAGGTCTGCAAAGTTTTAAAGATTAAAGAGCACCAAATCAAATTATTGTCTCCTAAAAGAAAGAACTGATTCTGAGCTTCCGAAACGAGTCGTCAGCAACTCCCGTCTCACTTCATGTTTTGAACATACAGGGCTGGAAATGGCTGAGATTTACCGGACAGACTCTTGGGAAGATTTTTATTATTATTATTTTATCATTATTCACTTTCAAAGTCTTTTCAGATGCCTCTCAGTTTAGTTCTTTGAAAATCAACAAATATTAAACACATTTAAAGGTGAATCCAGTTTTAAGGGAAAAGGAAGCTAGTGCATTCTAAAATAATTTGGATAATAAAAGTCTTTAGAATACATAATAATATCGACTCATCCCTTTTCTTAAACAATGGTTAAAATTTGATGTATATCATTTTATAAAGCTTTTTGTTTTAAGAATGTTACCATAGACATTTTTTTTAAAAACACGTTGCTGCTACCTGAACATTTAGTTCTATAATATAAGAATTCTCTGAAACAATTTCAACTGCTGATTCTAATTTCATTTTTCTCCAGATTAATGAGTTAATCTCCCCCCTCCTCACAACCCGTTTCATCACATGAGGTTATGATGCTGTTTTTACTCAGAGAATCACTTTTTAAATAGAGATCACAATTCTTAATAGACAACTAAACATAATATGTCATTTACAGAGATTATCAGAAAATGTTAGTTGCTGCAGTCTATATAAAACATATATTCAATCAATTTTTATGAATTTCTCATTTTAAAAAAAATTGGTTTGAGTGAATGATTCATTGACTCGCTCATAAAGACACCACTTGTTCATTACTGGATGAATCAAATCTCTTAAATGAACAATTCAATGACAAACACACATTTTTAACAGTCGCTTGTCGCCACCTACTGGTGTAACGATGTAATTCATACAATCTTTATTTGAAGCATCAAGTTACTTTCAAAAGGTGATTTACTCTATTTTGATCGCTTCCGTAGACATCAGTGTTTACTTTCCCCAGTATTTCTGTGACAATTTGAATTACTGTAACAGAAATTATGATACTGTGGACTGTTTGTGAAGCCGTTTCACACTATACATGACAACGGCTCTCTCTTGCTCAGCGTTTGAATGTTCGTTGTGATCGTACTCGTCAAAGGTTTAAAAGACAGAGCCGAATCTACAGTAGGAGTAAGATCGAGTGGGTGTTTGAATCGAGATCGTAATCTTTCAACGATTAATCGCGCAGTTTTATTGCGCAACGTGTTTGTGCTGAATTCGTATCCCTTTCGTAGGCTATGAGAGAGTAGAGTAAAGATAGAAATCTCTTTCATTTCCATTGCCAATTCCATCACCAATTTGTACTGGAATGCCAACCCATCAATGCCATCTGACCAATCAGAGCAGAGTAGACCAATCACAACAGACTGGGCCATCTGACCAATCAGAGCAGAGTAGACCAATCACAACAGACTGGCCCATCTGACCAATCAGTGCAGAGTGAACCAATCACAACAGACTGGGCCATCTGACCAATCAGTGCAGAGTAGACCAATCACAACAGACTGAGCCATCTGACCAATCAGAGCAGAGTAGACCAATCACAACAGACTGGGCCATCTGACCAATCAGAGCAGAGTAGACCAATCACAACAGACTGGGCCATCTGACCAATCAGAGCAGAGTGAACCAATCACAACAGACTGGGCCATCTGACCAATCAGAGCAGAGTAGACTAATCACAACAGGCTGGGCCATCTGACCAATCAGAGCAGAGTGAACCAATCACAACAGACTGGGCCATCTGACCAATCAGAGCAGAGTAGACCAATCACAACAGACTGGGCCATCTGACCAATCAGAGCAGAGTAGACCAATCACAACAGACTGGGCCATCTGACCAATCAGAGCAGAGTAGACCAATCACAACAGACTGGGCCATCTGACCAATCAGAGCAGAGTGAACCAATCACAACAGACTGGGCCATCTGACCAATCAGAGCAGAGTAGACTAATCACAACAGGCTGGGCCATCTGACCAATCAGAGCAGAGTGAACCAATCACAACAGACTGGGCCATCTGACCAATCAGAGCAGAGTAGACCAATCACAACAGGCTGGGCCATCTGACCAATCAGAGCAGAGTGAACCAATCACAACAGACTGGGCCATCTGACCAATCAGAGCAGAGTAGACCAATCACAACAGACTGGGCCATCTGACCAATCAGTGCAGAGTAGACCAATCACAACAGACTGGGCCATCTGACCAATCAGAGCAGAGTAGACCAATCACAACAGACTGGGCCATCTGACCAATCAGAGCAGAGTAGACCAATCACAACAGACTGGGCCATCTGACCAATCAGAGCAGAGTGAACCAATCACAACAGACTGGGCCATCTGACCAATCAGAGCAGAGTAGACCAATCACAACAGACTGGGCCATCTGACCAATCAGTGCAGAGTAGACCAATCACAACAGACTGGGCCATCTGACCAATCAGAGCAGAGTAGACCAATCACAACAGACTGGGCCATCTGACCAATCAGAGCAGAGTAGACCAATCACAACAGACTGGGCCATCTGACCAATCAGAGCAGAGTGAACCAATCACAACAGACTGGGCCATCTGACCAATCAGAGCAGAGTAGACCAATCACAACAGACTGGGCCATCTGACCAATCAGTGCAGAGTAGACCAATCAAAACAGACTGAGCCATCTGACCAATCAGAGCAGAGTAGACCAATCACAACAGACTGGACCATCTGACCAATCAGTGCAGAGAAAGCTCTTGAAAAGAAGGAGTTTAGAGAGAATGAATCTTCGAATGAACCGTTTTCAGACTCTTTGAGAAATGAGGTGATGTGCAATGTATATTATGAGAAAATTAAAGTGTTTTCTAACATTTGATGAATGTAAATCTATTGTAGGAGGCCTCCAAAACAAAATGAGTAACCTTTAAAATAGCACAATAGGAGCACTTTCATTTGAAACGGAAGGAAACGGGATAAGATGTTTTGATATGCCGTCATCTAATAAGAACGTTATGGGTGCGCCACACGGCATGATTTTTTTTAACATTACCTTGCTGTTACACAGGAACAGAGCAACTGACAGTGTCATTATTTTACAAGAGGAGTCACTGTGAGCGCCCACCTGCTCCAGAGGAACTCCTCTCTGTCCTACACAATGACCTGTCAGAACACACACCTTTCAATTTTTAGATGTACGGCAAGCAATCTAACTTAGACATAACTGACTTATAACCTACAACACACTTCAGTTGTTGTAAAGGGGCATCTTTACATTCAGCGTGATATTGCCATTAATTGTTTGAGGCGTTTGCAGCTACACAATATAAGAAAGCACATTTTGCACATTATTAGTGTGTGATTGATTAATAATGAATTTTTCACAAGCTAATTTAATTATTACCTTGATAGCACCAGTACCTTTGTTTCTCTGCTCATACCACACTTTCATTGTGATTCCCTGAGTTTAATTATTAGTCTAATTACTTAATAGTATTCTCTTTGGTAGTTCATGAAAGAAAACAAAGCACATATTTTCTATGACTCAGAGCCATGTTTTTATTTTAACCACTTTTGTTGTGGTGAGAGAACTTTAATCATTGAAGCCTGGTGAATATTTGATTTGAATATTTGAACCTCTTAAGTCTAGTTAGTGTTAAACCTAACTGTGATCTATGGGTCCCAACTTTGACATCTTACGTGGATTAACATTCACTAAGTATGGAATTTAGCACCACAATCATTTGGACAACAATTAAAGGTAGAAATCAATTTTTGGTATGCTAACTTGAAGTAAATCTTCCTTTAAGGCAGTTGATTTATTTAAAGGTCAGCCAGTGTTTAGGATTCTCAATCAGTATTTTGTCCACCTGGTTCTGAGTGATTCCTCGAGACAACATTTTGGGAACAATATTCTTCAGGATGTGGGAGAAGCCATGACCGCCATACTTGGTCAGTCGGTGCTTGGTGTGGATATCATGGGCGATGAGGATTCGGTCTTCATAACCTTCCCTGATCAGAAAGGCTAAGCTGGTGGAACAAGACAAAATGACTCTCAATGATCTGTTGATAGTATATTAGGGATGCACGATATAGGATTTTGGCCGATATTCGATATGCCGATATTTTCAAACTATTTTTGCCCGATGCCGATACCGATACCGATATATTTGTATTTTTTTTAAGTGCAAAAAAAGCTTATTAAAGCTTCTATTAATGTTCTCAGTCAAGAGCAGTGAGTGATTTCCTCTGTTTTGTTGTTTTATTAACATTAACGGGATAGTTCTCCCAAAAATTTAAATTGTCATCATTTACTCTCTCAAGTTTCTTTCTTCTGTTGAAATTATAAAAGTTATTTGGAAGAATGTGGCTAACCAAACAGTTGCTGTACTCCAGTGACTTCCATCGTATATTTAAGCACAAGAAAGAAATGAATCCAGGTTTGAAACAACATTAGATAGACAAAATTTTTATTTCTGGGTGCAGTATCTCTTTAAAGACAAGCGGCAGAATATTATTACTGTCTCTTTAAGAACTGCACGCGAGTAACGCGACGCGTCTAATATACACGCATTTGACAAGCAGATTTTCTCTGTTTGCTTTCACTTTAGACATAACCAACTTTGTTTATGTAAACCTTGTGTGTATTTGACAGTATCAGCGCAATAAGACTCGAAAGATTAGTCCAGTGTGCAGGCGCTGTGACAGGCTTTAGTTCCTGTGAGCGTCGGGTGTACGCGCTCAGAAAAGCGGATGTTAGAACAGCGCATCAGCACGTGAATGACATGTTTACCTAGCAAGACTTTGACGCACATGCAAACAATGAACTTTTGTGAATTGCAGTGTCCCGTGAGTGTAACTCTACCTCTGCGTTTACATGTGATGTGAATGTACGTCGCGTTGTACAGTATGTTGAGATGAAGGCGCCAGAATTGAACTGATAGAATGCACGAATCACGATACTATGATTTTTCTTCAAAAGCAGATAGTGGAGACATTTTAATCGCCCACGATCAAAAACCGTGAGACGCACGGCACACCCCTAGTTGGAAGTTTAAGTTGCTGGCGCTCATGCTTCGTTCACGGTCGTCACGTGCGCATAGGAAACACGCCACCCTATCGGCAAGACTCATCGGCAGAAATATTCATATCGGCCGATGCCGATGATGGTCATTTTAAGCTTTTATCGGCCGATACCGATGTTGTCCCGATATCATCGTGCATCCCTATAGTATATACAATGGATAGTCTCATTAAATCTGTGCATCAATCAAATTTGCATGTTTAAAGAAACACAGGGTGGGGTGTGTTCACACTTGCCATGTTTGGTTTGATTAAAACGAACCCTGGTGCGATTGCTCTATTAGTGCGGTTCATTTGAATAAGTGTGAACGCTGCCATCTGAACCCCGGTGCCACCAAACAAGCGGATCGAGACCTCTGAAAAGATGGTTCCGGACTAAACGAACCAAGCGAATTGAACTACAAGTGTAAACACACCCACAATCATGTACTGTACTGATAACCAGAAAAAGAAAACGAGCCAGATGTTTATGACCCATCTAATGTAATGCCTGCGTGCTTGTTGGAGGCAGATACTTACTTCTGAACTCTCTGGCTGTCGCCGGGCATGTCAACACGAAGGTTGAACGGGTAATTCAGCATCTCTGTGCCAAAGAGGTCATATTCAAGGTAGCTTCCCATCTTTGCAAACTCCAGAAGCTCTTGACGATCATATATGGTTCTAAAAGGGACACACAATAGAGCGTTAAAGGCAGGACATATTTTTGTAGGTCAAAATCCAGATACAAAGTTACAATTTTAGCACTTCCGGTTCTGTGGTAAACAAGCTCAAGATATATTCACGTTTTATCCTTTCACACTGTTGTTTCCATTCTATACTCATTCTGATTCTATGAGAATAGCAAGTACAACTATAACAAAAAAGACGGAGAAGAACGAGATCACTTTCAGAACAACTTTTTTTTCCCAGCTATCAAATTCCACCCGACTTTGAAGAGCTTGCGAATAACTGACTACATAACTGTGTGAGCACTTATATTAAACAGAACGTTATCATCCACTGGTGTGGACACTAATATACTTATCATTATAGTTATCATACTTGATGTGAATGTGCCTTAATGGTGGTGATATTGAAGTCATTTGACCGTAGTGTAATTCGTACTGTGTATAGCCTATGTTAAGCTTTTTATATTTTCCGATTGTATTTAGGCTTCTAATTTTAATACAAGTTGGGTTAATTTGTGAAGATTATCATCGTGAACAAATTGTATAGGAATCATAAACTTTTGTTATTTTCTGCAATAATCCAAAAGCCAATAGTAAAATCCTATTGGGTTTTGTCGAGGGAACCAGGGTGGTTGGCTTACAAAAAAATCACTCTATTGCTTGATTCTCTAAAATTAATAAACCTCAAATAAATGAGATGATTGTGAAAAGTAACCGAAACATTAGGTTTTGTGAACTGTAAATATAGTGTAAAATAAGTATCTAATTTGCCTGTTATTGAATTGTATAATGTACAGGAGTTTCTTCAACAAGACACTTTTGTCCATCCCTTAAAAAACACTTTTCGCACTCTAGTTTAATTTGTCCACTTACTTCGGCCAAGAGTGGACATGCATGCATCACAGGAAATTCTGTCCTTTTTTCTATAACTCATGAACATTTAGTAATCCACCAGCACAAAGTCATTTCCACCACCTCCTACATATTTCATATCTCAATCTCTTTACTGACACAGTACCACTAACAAGTAGTCATTTTTTTGTGACCTTCATATGAACAAAAAACAAACCCTGGGTCACAAAAGTGCCTGAAGTTATGGAAGCTTGTTTTCACCACAGAATAAAACATTTTATGAAAGAAAATCTCTTTTTAAAAGATTATCTCACAATTGCGAGCTTACATCTCGCAATTCTGAGAGATATAAAGTCGCAATTTCGAGTTATAAAGTCAAAATTGCGCATAAAGTTGCAATTGCGTGATATAAAGTCAGAATTGTGTGATATAAAGTTGCAATTGCATGACAAAGTCAAAATTGCGTGTTATAACGTCAGAATTGTGTTATAAATCTCGCAATTATGACATCTTTTCTCAGAATTGTGAGATATAAGTTGAAGATATAAGAAGTTGATTTAACCTGCCATTCAAAAGTTGAGTCAGCATGAATTTTTTCTTTTTTAAGAAATTAATACTTCAGCAAGGATGCTTTAAATTGATCAAAAATTCTATTTCAAATAAATGGTGTTGTTTTGAACCTTCTATTCATCAAATAATCCTGGGGGGAAAAGTATCACAGTTTCCACAAAAACAGTAAGTAGTTTTTCGACGTTTTTTTAACATTGATAATTAGAAATGTTTCTTTAGCACCAAATCAGCATATTAGAATGATTTCTGAAGGATCATGTGACACTGAAGACTATATTAAAACAGAAAACAGTTCTTTTAAATTGTAATAAAACGTCACAATTTTACTGTTTTTATTGTACTTTGCCTTGGTGAGAGAGTTGAGACCCCCTGATCTACATATTGTTATCAGACAGCTGGTAATATTTTGTGGTTTTCTTCCTCATAGGAACCATTTATGGCACATGTTCCAGTGTGCAGATGTTTCATACACCACCTCTTCTTACCTGTCAAGATGAGACATGACCGTTTTGGAGATATCTCCACCAGCTTCTTGCAGAATGCGGATGACCTCTCCAGGAGCGGCTGTGTCCCGTCCAGGGTGGATGATGACGGGGCAGCCGAGCTGAGTCTGAGCGTGAGCAGTGGCTCGCAGGACCTTTTTCTCACTCTCTGTGATTGGCCAGCTGGTACCGATCTCTCCAATCACGCCACAGCGAATATCTGTGCCGTCTGCTCCATGGAGCACCTCGCTGACAATGATGTCAGTAAGCTTGTGGGAAAAAAAAGATGACACATTTGAGAAATGGGAACAAATCATTTCCCTCTAGGGGTGTGTGATATATATTGTTTATGACAATATCGTAATTGTTGTTTTGGTCTCATTCTAAAGTTAAAAGTGCAGTTCCAAATAAAGCCTTAACAGAAATGTGGTAAGCAACACACAGTGGTGTTTCGTTCCTGAATGATTCAATGATATATTCATAAAGACAGAGGCAGCATCCAAAAATCACATACTTCCCTATACATTAGTAGTAGAAAACATAGTAGGCGAAAAACAATAAGTGACAAAAGTACGTTCGAATTCAAAGTACTCGTAAAAGAGTAGACAAAAAGTACCCGGATGACCGACTTCTTCCAGCGAGATTCGGAACACTATTTGATGAACACTTTACTATCCCATGAGGCCACGGGAGAGGATTTGTGAATGGCAGTGAAGCGACGCAACTGACGCTGGAAGGTCACATGATAATGACAACATGGCGCATGTAGTGCGTCCAGATTATATTCATAGTATATAGAACATACTTTTTTAGTGACCGTGAAGTAATTACTTACTCAAAATACCTACTCAAGAAATTTCACATGAATCAGACGAATCGGTTTAAGGAATAATTTAAAGACTCACTCATTAAGACCTACCTACAGGTGGTTTTAGGAGCCAATTCATTAAAAAATATATTTCAACTTTCTAAAAATTATCTTTAAATTATTAATCTCAGTATTATTTTTGCAAAAAGCAGTGCAAATACATCTAAATGCTCCTTAAGATGCAGCTTCTATTTCACTTCAGTGTGCAAAAATAGATTTCGTTGATACGGATTTAATTGGATTGAACAGGCTATAGTGTCTCGTCATTGTAATAAATGTAAGAATTTAACTCAAAAGATGATGTACACATCTAATAAGAGAAAAATGCTTCTGAAAATCGGTTTAAGATGAAAAAAAAAAAAGAGTTAATTTCTGTCACTGCTGTGAATTAACCACCGCACAGAATATGAAGAATATGAAACTCTTTGGGAGTCCGCTGTCCACGACAGGCCTGTAATATCAAATTAGTCAAAATATCGACTAATGTCGTTATCAAAAAAATCCTAGAATCAAGATATAATTTTTTTGTCAACATCAACACCCCTATTTCCATCATTCTAAAAATAGAAAAGGCATCTGTTTTGTTTTGCGATGTAGTCACAATACCACACGCTCCAACCTTCTCAACGGTCATCTTTCGCATCTCATCAGAGTGGGTCACGTCCACGTAGTACCCCGCTCCAGCTATGACATGCACACCCGTGTCCTTCGCCAGCTGGCGCAGAACGGGCAGATTTCGGTTGATGCCAGTGGTGGTGTTCTCCACTATGGATCCTCCTCCTGCTTTACGGTAACACAGCAACTCTTCCTTCACCGCCTCGATCTCCTGATTCAACAGCAGGTTCTCTTGGTGGCTGTATGGATTCTGCTGCAACCAGTGGAGATGCTTCATCTCAATGGGAGCTATGGCGAGACCCTCATCTCCAGGTGCTGGGGGAACGTGGCTGCACTCAAACGTCATTGTGAGGTGTTCGTGTGTCATGGTACGGCCCAGCTGATCAGGCTCGATCAGACCAAGCACAGTCTGCACCTTACCGCTACGCTCAGACATGGTTTCGGTGATCCTGTCCAACAAACAGTTACATTCATTAATAGAATATTGTTCGGACAGTGTGAAATTTGATTGAAAGTATGGGTGGGCGAAATACTGGTAGACACTATTGACCGGTAGAAATTTGTCAACCGGTAGAGATTTTGGACTATGGTTGTGAAACGATTAATCACATCCAAAATAAAAGTTTGTTTACATAATACATATATATATATATATATATATATATATATATATATATATATATATATGTGTGTGTACAGTGTCTAATTATTTTGTATACACACATGCATGTATATATTTAAGAAACATTTGCATACTGTATATAATTTGAGAATTATATATAATTCTCAGAAAATCTGTCACTGCTCTCGACTGAATCACTTTTCTAACTTTTATAAGAATAAATGTATATTTCCCAGACAGCAACATAGTGTCGGCCCGAATCTGGTACACGTGGATTCCACAAGGCCCAGATGTGGGCCGGATCTGGGCCGTCATTATGTTGCTGTCTGGGTTCATTTACACAGTAAAGACTACACTTTTTTATATATATATATATATATATATATATATATATATATATATACATTTGATTACTATACATCTTATGTAGTTTTTCTTATTTCTAGTGCTTGACATTTTTCAGGTAGATCTATTTCATTTGTGTCTTTGTTCTATTGTAGTTTGTTTGCTTAGCTTTTTCTTTTATCACTGTTTACAAGTCTTCAGTACAGCTTGAGAGTGTTTTTAGGCTAGTATTAGTTATAAATGTTATTGAAAATGGTGAGAATTATGAAATTTCAATGGTATCAAATTTTAATATCATTAAAACCTCATTTAATGCAAAAATAACTATCATGATATTTATCGTGAAATAAAATGACTCATATTGTGATATCAGATTTTGGTAATTTCGCCCCTCCAACTCTATTTAAACAAGAAAGAAAGAACTGCATTTTTGAAGAAGAAGTGAATGCTTGGCTGGTGTAAATCTGTAGGCTAACGTTACTGTAAATGACTCATCTTGGCTGTGTCTCATTTAACGGGTTAGACACACCTTGCTGGTTCGAACTTTGCACTGATTGAAGACTACAGACATTGCGTTGCAAACATGCATTTAATGCTGTTTACTATTTCCAAATATGGATTACAGAAGTAAATGCACTTGCAATGCATGTAAACAAATGCATGCATGAAGATGTATGCACGTGCCGTCGAGATTTTTAACAGTCCTAATACCTGGTTTACTAAACCCTGCTGTCTATTTAACGCTGCAACATTTAAAGTTAGTTTAAAATCATGCGCAAAATAAGATGCAACCGTGTTCATAATATTGACATTCTAAAATAAACTGAGCACAGGACTACTGCACGCACGGACTGGGAGACTTCCTCAATAACAACCGTTAAAAGTCACAAAACAGACGAAAGCTGTTATTTTAAAACCATACGGCCTAATGCAATTTGATGCTCATTATTAAACATTGAAATAGAACAAAGAGTGGAAAAACAAGACCTGCAGGTGAGTTCAACTTCGAGTCTGCAGATCCAGAACTGACAACGGAGCAAATACATTCTCGCGATTTTATGCATATATCGCGAGACAGCTTTCACATTCAGATTTAAACACTGAAAACAGAATAATTAAAACAGTAACGTTACAATTAAATAAGTAAGAATGAATGCAGTACCCTACCTCTAGTTTGAAGATGCGGTTCTGTTTAAACAGAATCTTGTAGCCTGTTTTTAAACTTTGAACTTATGCCACGCCCCTTTCTGTTCACTGCCGTTTTTGAGAAGTGACCTTATTATATAAGGGCCCTTTGTGGAAATCAGGATTCAGAAAATACACCCTCACTCAGCCATAAAGAAATAAAGCATGTTATTATGAAACATAACATTTGGAAACTATGTATCATTATGAAGCTGAAATCCAGGCTATGTTTGTGATTGGTTACAAGTAGAATATGTTTTACCAATAATTGCTGTGTTTGCATGGGAATCCATGGAGGAAAACAACTTAAACCAGCTTAGACCAAGAGCCAGTTTTAAGAACTAGTTTGACATTGTTGTGCTTCTACATTATTTCATTTCTATGCTATTTTTACAGCCCAATGAAAACAATTTGCTATATGTGTTAGCCTGGATATCAGAAATCTTGGTAAGTTGTATTCTACAATCAAATCAACTGACTAACCCAAACCTGCTTCCCGTATTGGGAAAAGCAATTAGTATGCAACAAAGTGCACGTATAAGCCTGATCTAACCATTGATCCATGATTTTAAAGTGGCACGTTGAGCCGTAATACATTTTCTCTGTACAAGTCTGATCTAACTAATAGTGACAGGTCCTGGGGAGTTATCTGACCAGGGATTCATGTACAAAATTATTCCTGAGAGAGAGCATGAATGACTAGTAAATATCAACCAACTGCAAATTCCAACTCCAAACAGCTGTTGGCGTCTCATGTCACTTCTAATTCATCCACTGTGGAACTATAAAAAGCCTGCACACTGTTAGTAAGATGTTTAAGTGGTCAGTAATCTGATTTTCCCTAATATTTATTTGATTTGTTATTAGTCTTATTCAGCTTTTGCTCTATAATCCATTAGCAAGAATGCAATCCAGGTTCAGGCACATCAAATAACAAAAAAGCCCCTCAAAGACTAAAATATATGTCTGGAACAATCTGAGGTCTCATTATAATCAGACATTATTTTTGAAGATGTGGTTCGGCTGAACAATGGCCCAAATGAGTCACTGGCCCTGAGGATGTCAATCAAATCACAGAATAATCCAGATATATTTGACATGTGTGAAGAAGACCAAAGACCTTATCAAAAATAAGTGTAGGCCTATATTTAAAGGGATAGATCACCCCAAAATGTTTCAGTGTTCTGACTTGCACTGCACAGACAAAAACATTTTTCAAAATATATTTTGTGTTCCACAGAAGAAAGAAAGCGACAGGTTTCAAACAACACAAGGGCGATTAAACGATTTTAATTTTGGGGTGAAAAGCCTAATTTCAGGTTAAAATTAACAACTGACACCCTACCTCAAATAATACGAGATCACTAAAATCAATTAGGGTGAATTCAGGTAAAGTGGGACACTTTTTGTTAAACATGCAGTTTTTATACCCAGAAGGAAATTGTTTAAACTCAGTTAATATAATAATTTATTTGGAAAGTGCCAATGGAGTCTATCCCAGTGTCTGGGAAACACCCTGGACAGATGGCGAGTCCAACACAGGCAATTATAGGCCTACATGTCAATTATAAAATAATCAGTGAATGGCAATCAGTTTTAGTTGCTTTATTGGCATTACAAATATTTGTACATTCGTATTGCCTTAGCATTCCAGCAGCTGCATACAGTTAACTGCACAATCTAGTCCTATAATTCATTCATTTGAGTGGAATTACTGACGGTTAAAATTGGCCCATGTCTAAACACCTTAGAAGAAAAACCATCTCTTTGATGCCCGTTTTCTATATTCTGACAAACTTCTGTATCTCACCTGAACAAGCGAGTAAAGCACTTGATTGGTGGATAAAGTTTATCTTGACTCATCTGTAGAAGCATCATGCAGAAGATTATTCAAAGCTGACACGGTGCTGCAGCCCTGGGTGTGAATTAGTTCAGCATAATCACTCTATTCTGCCTGATAGACTTGTGACCCATCACACTTTATGCAAATCTTTGGCGCAAGACTGGGAGATTCATATCAGCGTGTGGTTCTCCCATAACACGTCTGAAGTGTTGAGAGAGGAGTTCAGTTTATGCTGTGCCAAAAAAGATAAAATAATAGCTGTATTTGAGGCAGAAGCTTCCTCATACATTTGTGAGTGAAGCAGGCCAGATATTTTTGGGGCCTTTTTAGTTGTTACTACCTCTAGCACAGTGGTTCCCAAACTTTTTGAAAGCATGGCACCCCTTTGTAGCGGTTTTTTTTCTCCCACGGCACCCCAACCCAATGAAACTAAACATACATGTGTAGCCTACATATATTTTTAATATTATTATGAAAATAGCATATAAATGATCAAATTGACTTCTTTTATCAAAAAACTTGTTGAGAGAAATAAGAATTAAAAAAAATATATTTTAGTTTTGTGTCACTTTTTACACTCACTTAAAGCTGCAGTCCGTATTTTTTCCTCTTTGTCGCCATCTCTCTGTTCGAAATCTGTAACTGCAGTGATTCGCGGAATTATCATCTTTACGTGGGTTGTAAATCGGCATGAAACAGCGCGGATGAACACAGTGCTTTGAGGCGAGTGCTGCTGTCAGTCACCGCGCTGTGTGGATACTGGCATACAGAATCACAGATTCACTTTTTGAAAGTTTGACCAACATAAGAATTCTAATAAGAAAATGTCTTCTGAACAAGTAAGTAAAATCCATTTTTGTTCTGACCAACTAAGGGGGAAAAAGCATTCGACATAAGCTTCGTTAGATTTAATCAACATGATTTACAGCAACCGTGCAAATTATAGCCTACTTTGTTCTCAAATTGTTCATGTTAACAACATCAGCATTGCGTGACTAATGTTAAATTTAATGTGTTTTATGGTTACCTGCGTAGTTCAGAATTGATATTCTCCATAATAGCAAAACGAGAAAGGCCCAACAAAGGAAACTCCATAACTGTGAATTAAGAAAACGTACTGTTACACGATTGAACTATTGAAATGTCTTACTTGTTCAGCAGAAAAAAGCCGTCTCTTCTTCCGTTTCGAACCCCTTCAAAACACGGAGTTCACACACTTTTTAAAAGCCCCGCCGATGTTTAAATCCTTGTGTTCGCATGAGACGGTTTCTTTCTCTTTCTCTAGCCACCTTAAATCCGAAGTACGAAGTCTTTTGGGTTTTATAACTGCTGAATCTCCAGTTGACACTGATGATTGTTGTTTGGATCTTTCTGGATGCCATAAGTTTAATTATGTAAAGTGCTGCGAGAAAAGCCTATACATCTAAACATCTCGTCACGCGCAGTATAGCCGGCTAGCCGAAACTCCTTCTTTATGTGTACGGGTGTGACGTCATGACGCAAAGACATGCTCGAATTTCCCGCGGAAACTCACCAGTACCACTGGAATTAAAATCATTATTACAAGCTAACCGTTTTGAATCTAGCTATGGCAAGCAGATAGTTTTGACCACTGGCAGAATAAGTTTTTTTTAATATAATTATTTTGGATCATTTTTAACTTAAAAAAGTTACGGACTGGAGCTTTAAGTTAGCTGAGCGTGTGGGACATGCCAAAGTCAAGATCAGGAATCTTGATCTTCAAAATAAATAAAAGTGAACAAGAACATTCAAACTGTCAAGTCATTGTTAACAGACAAGTGTATTTTATGACAAAGATTGTTTCAGTAAGTGATTTGAACCAATTACTTTATGTGGGAATCATTGGAACAAAACACATTTAAAGATTGATACTTAACTCTTTAAAGCAGCACTCAGTAAGAATTACGTTTTTGTCAAACAGCGACCCCTAGAGTCGCTGTGGAGTACTTGTACTGTCGTGAATAGCACTCACGCAGAGATGGCTCGCACTCAGGGCCGGATCCCCTCCCCCTGTACACCGGTACCTGTTCAGTAGGATGGACGCTGTAATGAGTGGAAATAAGGTATGGCCCCTTTAAGAGCTGCGCGCGCCCAACACCACATGTATACGGCGCCGGGTTATTTCTGTTTGATGCTCATTTTATCAGATCTGTTTTTTGCCGTAAAGCAATTCGTTACCTCGCGAGACCTGATATCACACGATACTTCCTAACAAGTTGCAAGGGTGGTTTTGCGGCTCACAGGCACCAGCGGGGTGCGAGACGACCACCATTCAACACGAAATCAGTAATATAAACATTACAATGACTCCAAAGCTGTTCGGTTAAGGTAAAAAAGTTACTTAGTTCACCTTTAAATAATCATAACCAACTCCAATAAAAAAAATCTTTAGTTTCTCATTTGCTTTGTTCAAACCTGACCTTCACTTAAAAAATGAAACTAAAAATATCTGTGCATGAAACTGTGTCGCGGGCATTTTAATGGAATTGCATGTGCCTGCTTTTGCGAGCACAGCCCACGGGGGTAGATTGAGGATAGTGCGACTCGTTGATCGTGCTCCACTCACAGGCGCTGGCTTTTTTGTTCCGTTACGAAAGAGAACTCGCTCTGCGTCGATGACGCTTTGGGGAACAGGTGTCTGAAATTACTATCAAATCACGGCAATCATATTGACCGGCGACAGCCGCTGACTCCATTAACGTGCAACCCGGAAGTATAAAAGGGCGCCTTGCAAACATAACAATCACCGTTTTTGTCTTCAGGGACTGTTCTGTCTGTAAGCACTTGAGATTAAGGTAAGAAATAAAAATGAAATGCACTGAGAAAGCTAAGCAATGCTTCCAGAAGTGTGCAGACCCGTGCCCAAGATACCTGACGCTGGGTGACACACACGAGATGTGCGTTTTTTGTTTGGGTGGAGAGCATGCACCGGCAGTTCTCGAGGGAGCCACTCTGCCCAATGTATGCTGGTGGATGTCATGGATCGCGCTGCGGGCAGGCTGAGGTTGCCGTAACAGCGCATTAGGGGAAAGATCACTCGCGGTAGGCTTGATGATCGGTTTATAAACCACCAGCTCAGATGAGCCTTCCATTCCTTCCTGATCTCCATACGGAGATCGAGAGGGCATGGAAGAACCCATATTCGGCCCGTATCCACCGACATTAGCGGGCTAGTTTCTCTGATGTTGTGGG